TCTTGGGAGCTCTTGAAACTCTCATGAACAGCTACAGTTATCAGACATTTAAATGTAATGCTTTTTAAGACCCTTTCAAGATCATTTTAAACCAACTTTAGTACTAATTTTTGGACAAATAATCTTTTGCTTATTCAAGCTGCAGGTAAGTGTAAAGGTTAGTATATATGTGGTCCCGTGCAGAGGCAGGTATTATGTAGGAGTATGGTTAATAGAGTGAGTTAGGTTAATATACATTTGCCAACAGTTAAGTGTGAGGACACACCAGTCAATCAAAACATTAGAACCACTGGCTGGTGAAGTCAATGACATTCATCATGTTGTTAAAATCAATGTTCTGCTGTGAAACCTTTGGTCCTGGCATTCATGTGGATGCCACTTGACGCCCCAACACTGTTGCAGACCAACCTCCCCAAATGGCAATGGTGCTTCTGGATGGCGGTTGCCCCCTCAGCAGGACGATGCAACATGCCACGACACAAAAACTGCTCATGAATGGCCCAGGGAACGTGACAAAGAGCTCAAGGCATTGACTTGGCCTCCAATTTTGCCAGATCCCAATCTGATTAAGCATCTGTGGGATGTGCTGGTATCCACCTGACAACCCACAGACTCAAAGGATCCTGTGTCTGTGCCTCAAAAGGTCAGAGCCGAGTCTGATCCAAAGAGGCCCCACTGTGGATCGGGGTACCTCTGGGGTACCATTTCTGAGGAATTCTGAGGCCAGGTCGATGCCCTGAGCTCTTTACTATGTTCCTTGGGCTGTTTTTTTGCAGTGTGGTATGACGCATTGTCCTGCTGGTGGGTTAAGGGGGTATTTAGGAGTATTAGGCTCAGTGGGAAGTTTTATGATTCGTAAAATTACAGATGTGGACTCTCATGCAGAGAAGCTTCAATCATTTTGACTAATGGAAATTAAAAGACAGATACATGAAATACGATAAAAACTTTTGTGGCAACTGATTTAACTTTGATTTGATTAGAATTTTAAAAGCACAACAACTTACCAGAGTAACTGACATAAAGAAATCCCAGAGGATGGCACTTAAAAGCATTACTAAGAACACTTATTTCCAAAGTGGTCCTCTGTGGTGATAGTGGTTCAAGAACCCGCAAATTCGAACTTAAGACTATTTAATGATGTTTAAGACCGAATATGAATAAAATTTAAGACATTTGAGACTTTTAAAGGACCTGCAGACACAGACAGTTAAACACAACCTTCCAAAAATGTAATTACTGCAGGGCAATAGTGTTAAATTATATTTTATTGTGCATGTGTTGCTATTATTGTGTCCACCACTTGCAGCAAATACACATATAAGCTCTAATGGTCAGCCTCGTGTCCACATCCATCCATTATAACTGTAAAGAAATTGCAGACACACTGTAGATGTTTACTGACTCCATGAGCCACACCTTATTACACAGGAGTCCCCCTCAACAACACCACATCTCTGTTATTGTTGTCATGCTCACTGAAGTCTGCCTGTTAGTGTGTGTGCAGTCCCCTCACACAGAGTACATGGGCATACACGGTCCTTTGAGAGGACTGATGAATCATTCAGCCATGGTTACCTGCAGCAGTGGCACTGGGCAGATCAGAGACAGTGATGAGCGGAGGGAAATTGATACTGGGCGGGTCGTCAACATCAGCCTCTGGACCGTCCGCCATGCTCCTCAGATGTCACAACGTCACCTGGACCTGGTGCTACGGCAGAGAGATCGACACTGACTCCCCAAACACGACCAAACCCAACGATCTGGATCAGACAAGAAACATCAAAATACACAAACGTGACTGTGTTGATGTGATGACGGCGTCTGCGTGAGTCCAGTGCGCAACTTCCTGACTGCGCTCGGCTGGTCGGATTTAAAGGGGACACGTCTCTTTAAATGTCCAACCTGCCATGACAGCAGGGAGGGCAGCATGAGCAATATGTCAGTGTACAAAGTGTGTTTAACACACTGTTAAATTGAATAGTGAAGCTTAAACAATTGAAACACATACTGAAAATGTATCCTTACTTAAATAAATATTTATATATTATATAAATATATATATATATAATATAAAGAAAATACTATACTTAATGACATTAGGACAGTACCCAGGACTTTGTGATGTCAATGTACTAATGTACAGTATAAACAAACAAAAAATATCTGTGGAAATCTTTTATTCATTAAAGGTCCAGTGTGCAGGATTTAGTGGCATCTCGCTGCAACCATCTGAAACGGTGCCAAGCATGGACGTATAAATGGAACTGGATGTTTCTACAAAGGTTACTTAGTATCACATGAAGCCAAACAAGCTTGATTTTCGAAGAATGAAACTACGCATCGTGGGGCCATTAGAGCAGGTGCATTAGAGTGTTAAAGCAACTGAGTGGCTAACTTCCAGTTTAGCCCTCTGCTAACTTCAATAACTTCATCATTTAATCATGCAGCTCTTTTAGACTTAAGAAACGTTACTGGAGCGAATGGATTCAATTCAGATAGAGAAATGAGTAATTTTGCAGCAGTTCTGACACTTAAAAAAAAAGAATCCACTGATTTACAGGTCTCTCTTTTACAGTGTAAGTCTATGGGAAAAAGTCATTTACAGTAGTCCCTCCAGGATTTCGCAGGATGTTTTGGGGATGTTGCAGGCTGAAATGTCCGATTTCACAGCAGCTTTTCTCAAAAAAAATTGCGATGAATGTTGTTATTTTTTATAGGTATATTTTTGCAATGATACTGTGGGGGAAAGTGAAACTGCTAAAATAGTTGTGGTGCTGTTTTGAAGTCGGAGTATACAGTGTTTCCCCTGGAATTACAATCTATTTGTAATGGTAGGGGGATGCTCTTTCTGCCGGTTAGCACAAACTAACGAACTACAATGAAATTAAATTTTACCTGTTTTGAACAGTCAAATTTGTGGTAAAGTTGCAGTGTTTGGACAAAATTGCAAGGTCCCGCAGAATTCACAGGGATTGGTTGAATTTGCGTTAACTGTTGCGAATGCAACATTGGAAAATCCTGGAGGGACTGTGTTTTTGGGCCCCATGGCATCACATAAGACTCGCAATTTGTAATTCCACATTTGCCTACTATATTAAATTGGCTTCAAAGCCTGTCGCGGTTCTTGGGGGCCTAGTGCCTGGTGCCAAATGTGTAGAAATGCAAAATTGCCAAAACACCAGTCTTTGGTTTGTCCTTTCTGAGTAACTGTAGAAAGAACATGGCAGACTCTGAAGAAGAGGATATATCTAGATATAAACGGCTCAATCAAAAGCAAAAAAAAAAGAAAGAAAGAAACAACAAACTTCATGTGATTATCCACTATGACAACATGGTTATGCATATTACATTACATTTCTGCTGATATTTCCCCTTGAATCCTGTACACTGGACCTTTAATTCAGTTACACTGAAACAAAACTAAATTTTGTTTGAGAAAATACTTGAATATTGCATGGGTTAACTGTCTAAAATATCTTTATTACTGCTCAGGCTCATTACGATGTGTTTTTATATGTGGTACTGATATGAATCAAGCCCACCTCCTAGAAGGCAAATTTAAAGGTCAAAGAGCAGTACCAAAAAGGATCCAGGGTCCAAGGAAAGGAGTCTGGTCTTATTTAACTCCTGCTAATGTATAGTGTACACCAGGGTGAGGGATCATGTTTAGCTGCTGGATGAATGTAAGTAGTCTGGTGATATATACCTAAAATCTTCATCCGTAAATCTATGATGAGTCATTTCTGGGTAACGTACACCAGGGAGGCATGCAGCCATGGCTCTATGACTGTGATGACATATGAACCTTCAACACTGAGGCTCTGGTGGTGCTCTAAAAATACACAGACAGGTCAACAGTGCCATGTTTCCCTATGAGTGGACAGGATGCGTCAGACTTTCAGCTTTGTAAAAATCAAGGCTCTTTCACTGAGGAAGATTAAAGACAATTCTGAAATTCAATTGTATTGATGAACAGATTCCAGCTCAGCTTGCAGTGATCTACAACTACAATTCTTAGACATACACTGTTACCTAATGTAAGTATGCAGCCAGGTTTACACCCATACAATCACAAGACCTGGGAACACAGTGTGTAGCTCATCCCACTGATTACAATATTTAGACCAGTAATAGTGATTTAATCAAAGCAGAATATAAACAAAGACAGACCTGAGAGGTTATCCAAAGGCTGGCCATGTGTTTTATCCTCTCAAAGTGTAGCTGATTTTCAGAATAAAAGTTTAAAAAGGGGAATGGGACCAACATAAGTACCAGTGGGTAACTGTGGACAGTGAAAGTGAAAGGTGTGGTCACTCATTAGTAGCATGATCCATTGTGAAATTCAAATGGAAAAATCAACTGAGGCCTTTTTAGTAGTGAAGAGGCAGTCATGTCTTAAGTCACTTCTTCTGTCGAAGCACAGTTAAAGGAGAAACGCAGAAGGACAATGGAGCTGTCCTTTCCTTGGATTGTGCTGTAGTCTTATTCTAATCCACCTGTTGAGACTGGGGCCAGCGTCTTTTGTCCACGCCTTCTGCCAGGGGCCTTCGGATAAATCTCCGACTTGCATCACAAGTGCTCCGTCCAAATCTCGCCTAATAGCTGTTAAAGCGGCTTCCTAATGCGCTTTGTGTGTGTTGCAGCTGTTTCTTGGCTCGCCAGAGAAAAGTTGCTGCTAATGTTACTTGAGGGTCTTAAAAATAAAGTTAAACGTTTCACTTCTGTCATGTCGGACTGGGCTTCAAAAGAAACGGGACTCATTGAGAGTGTGACTTGGCCGTGCCAGACGCCACAAGGACTTCACATGAACTTGTCAAAATCACAGACCACGGTCATTTATCATTTCGCTCATAATGTAACTCAAGCAAACCAGACCTCTCATTAAGTTTCCATTATAAGGCCAACTTGACTTTGAGTCCGTAAATTTCTCGTAACTCCTCTCAACATCAGTCACTACTCCTCGTTGACTCTTTAAAAAGAAGAAGAGGAAACAAGTATTTATTGCAATGTCACCATTTATTCACTCCACTACAAAAGTATAGAATTATTTGAACTATGATACATTCTTCACATATACATAATATACAGTTTAAAGAGAAACTCAGGATATGATACAAATAGTTTACAGTGTACACTGTCCTTTCATATAAGACATATCAGACGTATGATCATGCAGGTTCTCCTTTTGTTTGAATGATTTCATTTAAATTTGACTTTTCAACGGGTTACATTATATTTAATGGACTTAATATAATACTGATATAAAAATAGAGTAAGTCAGACTAAATGAGAGTACATTTTAACTGCTGCTCTCAAACACATCAGTCAAATGAACAGCATTAATGCAGATATTCCCCACTGAAACACTGTGCCCCATTTGTAAAGATCTATCAGTGTAATTTGCCTTTTCTTTCCTGTGGCCGTTGATGCCCATGAACAGTCCAAACAAACCAATCAGAAGCTCTACATTCTGCCCACTGGCACTACTGGCTGTCTGTTCTACTAGCCCAACAGTTTATAGCTGTATTGAAATGTTGTGCCACCTGTCATATTGGTAACCACTGGCTCTGACAAGGCAGTGGAAGTGCAGAGAGAAGAGAGTCTAACTATAGTATGTATGGTCATCACATTCACATCCAGGAAAAATAGTTTTGTACAACTGGACATTATAAAAACACATTTTTGAAAATATGGATTACATTCATCAACCAGAATGTCATAGTTTTTTTCATTTTTTAATATAACTTCCTGTAAACACCGGCAGTCTATATCTGCAGTAAAACTAACAGAGGTAGCAACTGCACATGTACAAGTAGACACGACAATGTAAACTTACATTGGTGCTATTACTTAAATATGATAACTGCATTTTCATTCAGAGTGAGATAGGCCACTGTGGAACCATGGCTGACTTGTCTGCTTGTTTTGTTTTACTGTATTTTATTCACATATGGATGGCATTATTGGAATTTTGAGGAAAACTGGGACAGTGGTTACTTTGAGTCTCACATCTCTACTATCTAGTATTGCTTCATATCTCATAGTAGCTACATCTGTAAAGCACAATTCTCTAAGTCTCAAAAGGGGCTAGGAAAAATGTTACTATACCATTTTTTTCAATTTATAAAGAATTGAAAGTTCACACAAAAAGTTTGTTTTTTGTTCTGTTCTGTCCCCCCCCCCCCCACCCCAAAAAAAGAAGCAATTTGGCAAACCCTACAGTACAAACAGAGTGGAGTGACCTCCATGATGGTGGCTGTCCCTTTTGCTCACTGCAGAAATAATGGATATACGCTTATGTTTCCCTGAAAGTACATTACGTGGGTGTGCCTGGGTAAAGTTTTATAAGATAACCTGTCTTCTAAGAAATAAAAGAAAGAATTTCAACACTGCTTTCTTTCTTTCCAAAAAGTTAAAAGCTTTTTCCAAGCAACTTGAAGGTACACCTCCCCTTATCACTCTATGAAAGTGCAGCAGTGCTTCAAAAGTGGAGCAGTGAACTAACATACAGATATTGCGCGTGTCTTGGTTTTTACAAGATGGGATACAGTTGTTGTAAGCACAGGAAAAGGTTGCTGAAAACAGTATAAATCTATTTTTCAGGGAGCGTAGATTGAGGGAGGAAGCTTGAAGAAAAAGGTTTAGAAGAAAACGAAAAAATCTGTATGACATGTAAAAACAGATCATCAGGACATAAGCCCTAGATTTCTGCATGCAAGCACTAGAAACTTTACTCCTGTGATCAGCCAGTTGAGTGTGACACAAGAATATTTAATTACTGTTGTGCAGCTAGTCCGACACCACTATAGCAGATGTAATTATTATAACAATCTTGCTTACTAGTCCAATACAGCTGCACGTCCCCTACGCTGCAGTGCATCAGTCCAAAGTCCTCTCAGCCAGGAAAAATAAGAAGTGAGGCAATGGCAACAAAATGTGCCACACTTTAAATAAACTTTCACTTTTTTTTTTACTAATTAAAAAAAAAGAGTACAGGTTTAAGCGTTCAGCAAATCAAACTACCATGTCTTGTTGTTCAGTTTGGAATATATAGGGCTTTAGATGAACTCACCCTGCATTAAATACAACTACCTAATCTAACTTTCAAGTCATCACCTGTGCACTGGCCCATTCCACAAAGGCACCATTACAGAAAAGGGGTAAACGAATGGGTTCTGTTAGTGTGCACAACAGGAAGATATTTTTTATTTATTAATTCATTCATCTGTCAGTCAAAGCAGATGTTAGTCAGACCTCCAAACCATCAAATAGAGCTTTTATTTACCAATATCTGACTGATGGTGTCTGATATGTTTGGGTCCATCTCCTTTGCTGACGAAATCCCTAAAAGTGCAGTGTTTGGTCCCGCCCCTCATCATCTCCAGCAAAAAATGGTCTTACCATTATTCAGAATGAGACACTGTTCATCCCTAAATCTTCAGTGCATTTTCAGTTTTCCTCTATAGATCTTGTTGCTCACTTCAGGCTCTGGAGGAGAAGTTGACTCCAGTCACCATCTTCTGGATCTTCTCTTCATTCTTCAGTATGTTGGACTTTACAGCACAGATCTTGTCCTGCTGGTCCTTGATCAGCTGCTCCAGCTCGGCTAGTTCTGACTTGAGAGGCTCCACTGCTCTGTCCGTTGCCCTGCAGTAAAACACAGAGGGGATTATTAATTGTTTACATGCAATAATATGAAAACAGGTTGAGAAATTAACCACAGTGACCAGAAAATACAGTAACGAAACACTTAGCTGTAACAAAATGTTACTCAAGCAGCCACATCAGAGATGCTTAATACTACTAATTCAAGACAGCAGAAGTATAACAACACATGTCACACAATATTTAAAATGACAGTGTGAGCACATCTACATATGACCTGTGTTTTAAAAGAAAAAAAGGTAGATGGTACAAGTGTAACAGAAATTGACAGGAATTTTCTTGTGAAACTGCAGCACTTTTAATGAGAACTTGAGTCTGTATAGCTGTGCTAGCACTACACTTTTTAGTGTGTTGTGTATGTGCCAACCCTACCTCTGCTCCTGCAGCAAGGCCTGTGCGTGCTCTTTGTTCTCCCGCCGCCAGGTGTGCAGTTCAGCCTGCATGGCGTCCATGTCCTCCTGTATGTAGTCCATGATCTTCCCCAAAGGCAGCGTGCTACGGCACACTGTCTGGATGGATGAGCGGAGCCGCTCTATCTCCCGCGTCACCATGTCCCGCTCTTTCTTCCGCGCTGCTTCAGACACCACATTCTGAAAGTGAAGTTGGTGAATACAATGGGTGAGGTTTGGAGGAATTAAATCTGTGGTGCTGCAGACTTACAAAGAATATGAACATTAAATAAAATTCGAGGAGCGTAAATGTTGGCATTCGAGGATGACTGATTAAATTTCACGAGCGAGTTCTTCTACATCAAAGTCTTAATGTTTTCATTCCATCTGCATGATTTAAACTGAACGCTGTATGAAACAGCTGTATGAACATACACAAAGCACGCTAAAAACACTTGTGTGTCCCTAGACCAAAACATAATAAACCCTCTTTAGGAATTCTACCTTTGCCAGCAAAGTCTCAAATGCCCAGAGCCAGAGCAAGGCTGCATTTAGTGGTTTAGGATTTCAAGGCTAAAAATGTTAGGCAGGAATTCTACCAACCTAGCTGTATATATAAAGATCAAACATGCGGCTGAATTGTGTTGGCCAAAGTTGGGGGACTGGTTGATGAAGGCCTCCAGTGTATGGAGTGTGGTTGGTTTGGGGGGGGGGGGGGGGTCACCATATCCAAATTACTCTCAGTCCCTTGATGGTGAAAAGGAGGGAAGGTATCAGGGAAGGACCTCCCTTGGCAGGGAGCAAATCCAAGGATGTTTGCTCAGCTGGGCTTCGCAAGGCCTCAGAGTGTGTGTGTGTGTGTGTGTGTGTGTGTGTGTGTGTGTGTGTGTGTGTGTGTGTGTGTGTGTAATGCCAAAGTACTCTGTATCGCAACCCTAAAGCCACACACACACACTCACACATATACACCAAGCATACAGTGGACACACATAGTCCCTCTGCTCTCTCTGTCTTTAAGTCTTGTTTATTTTAGTAACAGGCTGTGGCAGTGGGGTTATTTTACTACAGTATTGAGTAACAACTACTACACTTATGCCTCCTTTCAAGTTCAACTCTTGGCCCAATTTATACTGTTTGGCTCCACAGATGGGAGCACCTGCCCAAATGAGGCAGCAGACATATTTGTGATAGTGTATAAACTAAATGACAGCTTCCTCTTCAAAACACACAATCTGTCACATATGCTTGGCATAGCTGGCACACGTAACGTTTGCCTTATCAAGCTGCCTCTGAAAACAAACCAAACAGCTCAGTAATTACAATTTGAAAAGGCACTTTGACTAGACAAGACCACACTGCAGAAATGACATCAAACATAACTGTTTGGCGTCATGTCTTTTACAGGAAGCAAGTACAAATTTCTGACAACCTCACTCTTTGTTACCTATTTGTGGTGGTTTGAGAGTGTGAGGGTTGAAACGCCTTGGCTCAGTGGTCCCCTAACAAGGTGGGTGGCTTTCCACTGGGCGCTGTGAACCGTGCAGCTAGACAAACACTCTACGGCTCATTCGGCCTGCCTGGCTGCGGTTTGGTCTGCGCGGCCCAGACAGGACCTGTGGCTTCATTCTATTTGCCGTCCCCTTGCAACCTCGCCCCTCCCCCTCTACTTCTCTGTTGGAAAATAAAAAACTTGGCGTGAAAACATGACCCCTGGTTCGTGTGCACTCTGTCCAGGTGGATATAAATCACAGCTTTATGGAGGTCTCTGTTGGGGTCTACGAGACCTGTGTGCTCCTAGTTTTCCTTTTTCTCACCCAGATCACAGAACAATATTTAGACGTGGTGACCGCAGAGGAGTAGGAGGTGAGAGAGGAGGAAGGGGTGGAGACAAGGCAGGTTTTCCCATTATCTCAGACAGTGATGAAAGCCTCGGGCAATGGGGAAGACACAGCCTTCAGCTAGTGCTAGAAAGGGCAGGTGGACTAATAAGAGGAGGTGTTTTGTCTTATAGATTAAGCCTTATCTATCTTGTGGAAGCACATACAAGAATTCTTAAATTTTGTTTTCATAAGCTTTTATGTTGTTGGACAGCAACATAATTCACTTACACTACAAACTCTCAGCTTGAATCGACTTCAAAAGAGAGCCAGCAGAATAAAATGATCATGGATGTATTGTAACAATGTAACGTGAAATGCGCCCAGTCATCACATGCCTAATCAGCTTAATTAGCAAATGCGTGCAAATATGTGATTTATGGACTGCTTGTAGGGATTTTCTGAGGCAAGAAAAAGACATTCTTCAGTGACGAGAAAAACAGCGTGCACGCACAGAATCTGTCAGCAGCGGAGCAACCTCTAGGGTATCATTAGCAAGGAAAGCAATAATTTAGACGCTAGCTGACAGCGAGAGATTAGCTTCCATCATAAGGAGAGAGGCTTCATTCATTCATTAATCAGATTCCCTTTGGTCAAAACAGGAGGATGAGAGACACATGTACAAACCTGTCATTAGAGCTGCTTTGCCCACGATCAAGCTGACAAATTTTAGTGATTATAGCAGGTTGTGGCACAGCAAGTCAGTTGCCAGAGAAACTCTTTATGAACTCAAGTGAACTGCTCTTTTATCATCACACACACAAATAAGAAAAAAAAAAACGATTTGTCAAAGGACACATAGATGATTGAAGTCCTGTGCAGCAACTTTAGAGCTTTTGGAAACAATTCTACTGGCTACCGGTGACCGTTTGAAGACACTGAGGTGCATCCCAATGATTTTTAACAAAGTGTTTCTGTAGAAGACCTGAGAGGTGAGCCAGGGAGCAAAGCATAGAATGAGAACTGGCTCTGGATGTTGTTTATGGGCTTCCTCACCATTTTTTCATAGAGGGCCATTCAAAAGTCTTCCTAGATTATAAAAATAGCTCGGACTCAGTGAGGTGAAGAGAAAAGCTTACGGCCGCTGAGGTTACAGGATGTTGTTGCAGGGTCACTGTAGCCCCTTGGGGAGACAACTGAGATCATCACCCTAGGCTACAGGGTGAACTGAAAGGAAACTTCCAAAGGGACCGCTGCAGTGACTGAAAATGGAAACTGTTTTAAAAAAGGTGGCTCATTATTCAAATATTCTCATAGGGAGAAAAAGCCATTTTAAATGCCTTGCAAATATGACTTCTGATCATGCCTGTGCTGTTGAGCTTGAGGTCTGGTCTGATAACTGTGGGTGCTTCAGGTAGGTACTCCTCATAAACCTGACCAAATTCCTCTAACAAGTCAATATGACCTCTACAAAAGTAATATGACTAATGGAATGCCACAGGGCCATTTCCTTATGTTTCCACAAAAAACGCTGGATGTTTATAGAGACACAGAGGACTGCAGAAAGGAGTATTTATTTTCTTGACAATTCTGCAGAGAGTATTCTGGCCCTTCTCCTCCGTGACTCTCACTCAACAGCCATCCATTTGTATGCCACAGGGTTTATTTATACATTACAAACCTTCATCAAGGCTAATTTGATGGGGGTAAAGAACAGGGGGGAAAGAGTACACAAAAAATTCTTATGAAAACGCAGCTGCTGCAAGGGGCAGATTTTGTCTAAATAAAAAGAGAACTATCTTGGAATAATATACAATACGGCCGAGGGGTCATGAGGAAGGGCATCCCCATAAATATACAGCAAATTCTTCAGTCACACACACTGTGGTGGGATATGGCAAAATACAATCATTTGACTGTTTAGGAATTCCCTTTATTTACATCTGAACAGCAATGGGGCAGCTAGGCACTGGCATTAACAATAGCAGAATTAATTCAAAAATGACTAAGAACATAAATTTCGATGGGGGCAATAACATATAGACTGGATTTTCATAAAATATACAAAATGGTCCTAAGGCTAACATTTTTGAACTGAACATGATGTCAGATCCTAAATCAGGACGGTTTGTGACTCATTCCGACGCAGTGTTTTGATAAACACTGGCATTTTAAGAAACCAAATAGCAGCGGCTGAAATTCCAAACCCGTCATACCACATAGAATGAGGAAGCTCAATATTTACATTTTTTAACCCTGCGTGTTTTGGCGTGATTACAAGAAAAAAACGACTCCATTAAGCTGACCTCTCCACCCTTTCATGTCAGGAAGGAAGTCATTACAGTTCTTTATACAGCTGACGAGGCAAGGCCAATAATCACGGAGGGGCGGACTGAACCTATGTGCAGACATACCTGGAATAAGCTGCCGGTGCAGACCATTCAAGACACTCTGAAATGAAGGTTTGGTACCCCTGAAAACTGAGGAGGCTCCATTAGGAAAATTAGTTTAAACTGTACAGGGCTATGCTCATGTTAGACAAAGAGCTCTGCTATTTTGCCTGTGTTTTTGGTTTGTTTAATTTTTTGAAGGGAAGTGTTGAGGTGGGTAAAGACATTTAAAAACTGCATTTAACACACGCGTGAAGTTGGTTAAATACAAATCCCTGTCAAGCTATTTCAGTTCACTGGTGACTAAGCTGAGACAACTTCAGGTGTGAGTTACGAGGGACAACGTCTGAAGCCGAAGTTAGGAGGGGATAGATCGGGGGCCTTTACGCATGAATGACAGTCCAAAACAGTGCATCCATCAGAGTCAGGGTGGTCAGCTAGGAGGGGATGCTGGGAGAGTATGCTTCAGTGAAGAGGACCACCCAAAGCAGACAGCGTACGCCACCTCACACCATGGACGACAGACCAAACTGTAACCTTCACACTGATTCACACTCCAAATAATGATGAAAGACGGCTCTCTCTCTCTGGCTGATAAATACGCTGACAGAGGGGAATGTATGAGCAACAGCAGTAATGCTTCACCTTGGAATAAAAGGTTTATCTTGTCTAATATAAAGTCTAAATCAAATAGAAAATAGGAGAAAGAAGGAACTTAACAAGAAAACCTGACAACTGTGTGCTGCAGGGTTTTAATGGAGGGCATTTACAACAAAATACAGGACTAAAAACCTCAAACTGGTTATGTATCCTGTGTAGTTTTTTTTTTTTTTTTGTTTTTGAACAAACACATTCAAACAAGGGGAAGGAGTGAGAACAGTCAGAACAAGATTGCTCTAAACGATATTTCCCAAGATGGCAGATACTCTCAAACTATACACAGAACAGAGAGGTCTGTAATCAGAATAAAATAAGCATACCTAAGATATTGAGCAACACCAGAAAACAAGCTCATTTTGCTCCAGACATCTTGATGTGTGTATTAATTGTGTGTGGTCTGTTAGAGGCCATACTTCTGGTTATTAGCCCCTCGGCCTCAGTGAGGGGGAACATTTCTGTGGTTTCAAGGCGGTGCAATTACACCTCTACACTCCATTTGTTTATATCATTCTTTTGATAATATCCAGTATTGCACTGGGCCTTTCACTGCGGTTGAAACGTTTGCCCTGGAGAGCAACGCTTCCAGAAAGAGTGGTTCATAGAACTGATGGTGAGATTTAATGTGTGTTCTGAGTCACTGATAAGAATGAGCTGTAGAGAATGAGCTGATGCTGCCCTCTAGTGGAGAACTACTACTACTGTAACTGTACATACCTGTTCTTTAGATTTGGGGGCAGATGGGGACAGTTCATAGTCTTTCTTGGTCTCAAGGATCTTTTTCACAAGGCCACCTACAGTGAGGAAAACAATGAGAGGAATAGTTAAGGTTCTAATTTCTCAAAGAGAATCAAGAGAAAATGTGGCAATATTGCTCTTCTAAAATAAGAAATACAGGGGAACTTAAAAGAGACAAACAAAAATACAACATGTACCATGTTTGTCTTCACTGTCGAGTTCTTGTGCAGGCATCTGTAATAGAAAAAAATAATAGATAACTATCCAAAACTTTCACTTGGCATTTGAACAACTCGCTGTTCAGGTCACTTACCACCTCCATCTCAGGAGCATCTGAAGGTGGAGGTACTGCCTCCTCCACAAGAAATTGCTCATCTTCATCCTCCTCATCCTCCGACAGCCTCTTTCCATCCATGATGACTGGTGCTGAGGGCTTGGCACTGGACAGCCTGGAAGACAGACAAAGAGCTTGATTCATTTCTAACTGAGAACTTAGATAGCTTATAAGGAGAGGCACATGCCATCTTGTGAACAACTTTATCCAATACGACTGTTGACAGGTTAGACTTGTTCCACTTGCTAGAAGTTATAATGTACTAAGGTAATGATCTATCTCTCCCGCCGACAGAGACTAAATTTGTGTTCACAGTGACAATGTCTACTTAATGGATAAGATGGATGTTATCAATCCTTCCAATAGAGAGGATAACCTACATATAAAAGGTTAAAGAACATGTATTTGAGAATATATGGAGGCCCTTCATCAATTATGTTGAAGATTTAGACTTAAGAGACGCTCAAGTGAATGGCTAATTTCTGTGGACAATGCTTGAATGCATGAATGTACAAGTCCGTATTTCATGGCGTTAAAATGACACATTGATGAATATGAGTGGTTAAGTCACCTCTCAGCTGGGGTCACATCAGAGTAACTCTCCTGCTTCTTGACTCGGGGAGGTGCTGGACGAGCACTGCTGGGCCGTGGTATTCGCCTGTTGCTGTGGGTTGAAAAGACAATAAGCTGTTAAACTAACCATTTTGGGCCTAAATATGTTTGCACTCATAAAAGTACTTCTTGTTTTGTTTCATGAGCTATGCTTCTTGACTTCTTTTACAAGCCAAATCCTCTGTTAACAGCTCTCTGTGATTTGCCAAATGTTCGCTTTGTGACAGCTACACTAAGTCATTCAGATTTCAGGATGACAACTGTTGCTTGGAACAGTAAACATTCACAATATCAATAACAGTAAAACAACTATGACACAGCTGACCACCAAATCAGTTGCTACTATTAGTCAGTCAAAGAACAGAACATTCATAATTATCCAAATTAAAGGGCACCTACTTACATGTCTAATCTAATGGAGCTGATCCTAGATCAGGCACAAGAGCAAACTCAAGTTTCATAAGCAAAACTACCCTAAATTTAAAATAAATAAAGCAATGCAATAACATTTGTACTACACCCTCAGAAATTCTCACATAATTTAATTAGCAGCTCAACATTCTCATAAATGCCATAAATGTATTTATTTCATGGATATTGTGCAATATTGCATTAGATTTTGTTCAGGTGTCAATTCATTTGTGTTGTGTTGATGTTTGACAGACGTAAGAGGCTGTACACATGTCGCGTCTTTAACCAAAAACGCAAGGTCAGGTGCTGGCCTTTATCAAGCCAGCTTTCAAGACCGCGGTGGCAGGTTGCGTCTGAGGTTGCTGAGAAACCTTAACAAGTACGGTATCGTAGCCTCTTTACCTGAAATCCTGAGAGCATAGCTGACCTTCCATATTTACCACAGACTTTACAGAAGAACAGAAAGATATCAGTCAGCTGTGACTGGTTGTTGCTCATCATGATATGCGGTGTGTACTGCTGCATTCCAAAAGTTGAACTCTGTTAATCTCAGGGTGTAACCATCGCACCCTGGAAAATAAGCACTCGGTAACGCCTGCGACAGTGTCGCTCTGGCTTTGAGCACACCTGCTACGTGGCTACATTGAAAACAATGAATTTAAGGGCGCAAAAAATGTGGCAAGTGAACGGCCCCTGAAAGCTTAAGAAGTGGAAGTGAGATTTTTGTATGTGACAAATCTGCGTTTTTTTTGTTGATTAAGAGTAACGTTTAATTAGTGTTTGCAAAATGAGTGAAGGTTCAGGATGGACTGCACAGACCTGGAGGCCATGTCGGATGGTGCTGAGGAGCCTGCAGCATCTCCATTTTCCAGGGGAACAGGTCTCTGGGCCAACAGAGCATCTCCGTCTGTTAAAGGACAGCAATAACTTGTAGTTAGCTCAGCATAGAGAGGATTAGGCCTGTCCTTTGCATGATGAACGCTGACAATTAAGTAGTACACATATTTATAACAAGAACATACCAGTGTCTTTCTCTCAGCTAAATGCTACCACTCTGACAAAGCTAGTTCATAACACCATAGCAAAGGACACGTAAATTCAGCCATGTAACTTCAGCTGTAGCCTCCTCACATTTAACTCCAACCCATGCTGATTGTTAAGTGCTTCTTCTAAAACTCCACACATTCCTTCATGTACTTTAGAATTTAAGCAGGAAATGTGGGATTAATGGGAAGACCAGCCATTTGGCCTATAAATGGATTTTATCCTGTTAGACTTAAAGGTAGGGTCTGGAGGATTTTCCAGTTGCTGTTTGTAAACACACATTCAAATTTGGCCCCTCCTATCAGGCTCAACTCTCCCGGGTGTACGGAGCCTGGAGGTACGGAAGAAGGCTTCACAGAAGAGGTTCAGGCAAGACTTGCGCTGGTGCACGCTCAGACATGCTCGGGCACGGCACCTGCGCTCTCTCATTGGCTGGGGAAATTTCCGCCCAGAAGCAGTCCGAGCTCACAAAAACATCAAAATACAGTTAAAGGGCAGGAGCTCTGCAAACAGAGTCACCACCACACATGAGTAGAAGCCCATAGGTGATGATTAAGCAGGATTTCATTTGTATATGTCTATATTTTGTTTTGTTTGAAAATCCTCCAGATCCTACCTTTAAGTCTTAATTTTTCTGGAATTTTTAACTTTTTCTTTAGTTTTGCTAATCTCTTTTTCCCAACTACAGCTCCAACAGTATTCAATGCCTTCACCTTCTTGTGAAAGGAGAGGGAATGTCTCTTTGTTTCACATCTCCTGAGATTTCTTCCTTCTTCCCTCTGTGCTAAGGTTTTTTTCTTTTGAGAAATTTCTCCTTGTCTTCTCGGTAAGTTTGGGCTGGGTCAGGAACTGTTGCTATTGAAAGCCTTTGAAGCACTAATATTGGCCTCTACAAATAAACTTGACTGACTTGCTCAGACATTATAACAAAGAATATCATTATCCATAATCACTGTGTGTGACTGAGTCACTCAGTGAGTGACTGCACCCACACTGAGTCACTGTGAAGCCTAAACCCAAAGGAGCACTCTGACATTATAGGGAAGACACTTCTTTGTCATCCCTGACTCAGATTAGAAAATCATTCATTTCATGCCTTGTGCTTTTAATACTGAGATTGCAGTGTGCTGAGGTAAAAGCCATACCAAATATGGGTTATTTGGTATTTATGTGAGTGATCATTTTCAATATTTTATTTGTCAGTTATAGAATCCTACCATGGGAATCCCTGAAATGCATTTTAGATTAAGTGCACCAACTTTCCTGTCACGTTGACACCATTTCCACAAGGAAAATTCTTAAGTGAATGTTAAAACCTCAATATTCTCCTCTTTTTTGCATGCAACTGCACAAGAGAGATAAGAAAGAGAACATTTACCTCCCTCACTGTCAGATTCATCTGTCGGAGAACAGAAAAAGACAAGTCATTGTAAGTCATTGTAATTTCTCTCTAATACATCCATAAAAAATATTAATAGCATGGTGACACACAAGTATAGAGTATGATAAACACATGAACCAGTAGGCTGTGTATCTTTGAAATATTTTTAGGGTGTTGTTTTTTGGAAAACGTTTTCTTCGAGTCAGTGCTATAAAGCGTTTATTGTTTCTGCCAACATTAATCCTGATGAGTCACTGCTACCTCCCCCTGAGGAAACTAGTAAGTGATTTTATTGGACAAGTTGAGTGCAAATAGAAAGCTGTCAACTGTAAAACTAATTTGGACATGGTAAAAATCCCTTCTGTCAATGATTAAAGTGAAGTTATTTTAGACATCTGTATTAACTGTGTGAGATATGCCTCACTGGTGTAGGTGATTAAAATAGGGTGCTGGGGGATTTGGGAGGGTGTTACCTTGACCTCCAATCTTGGGTCTCCGCCTCTGCCCTTTGGCAGATGAGGGCCTGGGTATTCTAGCTGGACTATCAGGCTGTGAGAGACACAAAGACAAAATGGAGAAAGATCCAATTTTAGGACAAGAATAATATAGAGAAGACCTGTCATACCCATTCATCATCATTTTCTTTGGTAGGCTTGGAGTACACTCAAGTATTGTACGGCACTATTAAGCACCAATAAACACGAAAAAATAACTTTTAAACCACGCACACAGACAGTCCTCTCCATGAAAAATACAAAAAATCTAAGTTAGAAAACAAGAAGAGGGAAGTGCGGTAGTAGGATCAGCCTACAGTGCTGTTCAAATCCAGTACCAGCCAAACAAAAAAATACAATATGACTTAGACTACCAATAAATATATCCTTAAGTGTCATACTAAAAATACAAAGGCACTGGCATGTTGAAAGAGCAGCAAAGCAAAGCTGGTAATGGAAATAAATTGTGAATTGCAGATTGAGTTCTTACCTGGTTCTCAACTGCTTCTGCAGTCTGCACAGGCAAAGAGCACAGCATTACACTGTGCACTTAACAGCCACATTATCAGTTATACAGATCATAAGATGATCAGCTATACACTATAGCCCAAATTAACACTAAACCAAGTAGCCAGCCACCCCCAGGACATTGCAATGGTCACTACATTCTAACACTAAAATGCAATATACTGTATAGCTCTAAAAAAAAAAAAAGTTTCTGCAGGGTTGAATACCTCATCATCTGGTTCCTTGCAAGAATAATAGGCACAATGTAAAAACATAGAAAACAAGTTGCATGAAAAGTCAAGTTTAATTGAATATGTGCAATCAGTGACCAACTCTATGTTTCCTTAACTGGCTGACTTGACATACAGGGAACTCTGCCACACCCAATTACAGATGAGAAAATCTAATGGCCCCAATGTTAGACATTATATTGTGTGAGTTTTCTATGGGCAGAACTTACTACTGGCATGGATTTGGCTGTTTTGCTGGGCTCAGGGCTGGGTTTCTGCTGTGGCTCCTCTGATACTCTGGCCTAAGCAAACAAATACACACGGAATGTAAATAGTGGCAATTGTTGGTAACATTGAAGACATGAGTGGGGTTAAAAGGACGGGGCATACCTTGCTGTCTCCACTTTTTTTCCTCTCTTCCCCCTCTTTGTGTCGCTCTCTCTCTTTCTCCCGGTCTTTGTCTCTGTCTCTTCGTTTGTCTTTGTCTCTGTGAGAATCCCTATCTCTCGTCTTCTCTCTGCCTTTGTCCCTCTCCCTGTCTTTTTCCCTTTCTCGATCCCTCTCTCTGTCTTTCTCCTTGTCCCTGTCTTTGACTCGTCCTTTGTCTTTATCCTTGTCTCGATCCCGGTCACGGCTCTTGTCCTTGTCGCGGTCTTTGGCGTGGTGGTCCTGTTCACTGCGGTGGTGCTTGTCAGAGCGCTCCCTGTCGCGTTGGTGCTCTTTCTCCCCATCTCTGCGTCGACTCTCCTGTTCTTTGGGCTGGTCTGGGTCCTTCTGGTCCCGGCTCCCGCTGCGCTCTGTAATCTTTTTCTTCTCCTGGAATATTTCATGCCAACACATAGGGTGAGGACTTTATGTCAGCTACATCTACATATTGGTGAACTCAGCATTTGATCATCTCTAGCTATATGTTAACCAGACATGGGGGAAAGTCACACATGTGCAACTCACAAGCAAGTCTCAAGTCTTTACCTTCAAGTCTCAAACAAGTCCCAAGTTAGTTGTGGTGAAAATCAAGCAAGTCAAGTCCCTGCTATAAGTCAATGGGACTGAAGATGGAAATTAGCCACCTGGCTATAATCTCATGCATTTACATGTAAATGTCCATTAATACATATTGTCCCATTTTTAAAAAAATAAATACCTCAAATCTCAAGCAAGTCAAGTCGAGTCATTGCTCAGGTCAAGCAAGTCACAAGTCAAGTCATATGTCACATACAGCAAACATCTCCTCATGATCCACTAGCTACATGGCCTTTTGAATATGCTATGAAAAAGTCCGGTCTCTGTAGGCAGCCCAGGATCCGCAAATGGCAACAAAAACATTTGGGTCCAGGCTGCACCAACCAGCCAGCGCGAGTCCAGCGAAAGCAAGCACACACACATGAACGAGGTTTCCATGTCTCACAGTCTTGCGCAAGTGCACACACGTGAACGCAGTGTACAGAGAGGCAGTTAGAGCTACAGGCTACAATGAGGCTATAAACAGAGTTCAAATGACATTTTTCCAAACAACCTTTTATGTCTGTGCTTCAGGACACTTGGATCACTACGGACGAGCAGTATGGAGATATTTTGTGGTTTCAATTATGTATTTTTGGACGTTTGAATCTGGGGCGCCATAAGCCTCCATTAGGTGGAGCGTGCTTTTAATATTGAATTAAAGCCAAATCTTTTCGAGCCTGACTCAAGTCAAGTCATGAGACTCAAGTCCCCCATCTCTGATGTTAAGACAGACAGTACATTTTCCACCAAATGTAGGATTGAGTAGCGTGTAATTCCATAACTTAAGTGTTCTAAGGACTCTCACCTCTCTATCCAGATGACGTTCACGTCCCTCCCTGTTTTCCTTGTCCTGGGACCTGGAGGTGCTGGCCTTGGTCTTTATGTCCACTTTTTCTCCAGCAAGCACTCGCTTTACTGCATCATCACTGGACATCTGTAAATCAAGTGCAGGAGAATCATTCAGTTTAATACAGCTATAGAATCAATGACTAATATTAATGGTTGTTTGAGTATTTAACAAGGAGTGTGGCATTTTTTTTTATTGGATTTATCAGCAAGCATGTAGCACATATTTGACCAGCTGACTTGTCTGATTGATTTAGCTTCACTAAATGTATCACAGTTGAAAAACCTGAAGTATTTCTATTACAATTGTAACCAGATGTCTTCAAAACGGCAACAGCAAAAATGCTGCCTGAGATCAGAGAGGAATACACACATTCTACCTGACGATGAAATCAAACTACTGTTTAAAGAACAACTATCCCCCCGGCACCAGCTCATCTGTTTACACTCCATCTCCAGGGTTCAATTAAAATATTTCAAAAGTCTCCCTGAGGCAGCTAGACAATTCTCCCATGAGTAAAATATTTTGATGTGAAAAATAACACACACTGAATCTTCTTTTTTTGTAGCGCCATCATTGTAGTGTTTCTCCAAATAACAGAAAATATGATCAATGAATGAACTGGAGACATTGGAAAATTGGAGAGTAAGGGAGCGTTTTCGATTTCCCATTCAGCTTTTCAGTGTGTGTGTGTGTGTGTGTGTGTGTGTGTGTATTATCCCAGGAACACGGACCTTGTTGATGCAGCACTTGGCAATGGCCTGCAGCAGCTCATTGGTTTTCTCGGGCTCATGGCCAGCCACAATGCGTGCTGGCTTTGCCGCCAGGGGCTCACCGCTTACCAGCATCACGACATCTATTGCCTTCTGGAGGAAGACTATTTTAGAGTCCTTATCCTAGAAAGAAATAACGATGTGATGAGGTACAGGTGAGTGGGCAGGAGAGATACAAGATGGGATGTGGTTGTGAAAGTAAAGGAACTCCCGTGAGAATTATTTTCCAGTCTAGTTTAGAATGATTAAACCCTTGAGATGTGCACAACCTTTCAGTGTTCAACACAAGTTACCCCAGACACGCTGAAATTTTGCAAAGTTGTGCGTAATTGACTGATTCAACTACTTTCTTGGGCCAATGAATAACATGCTGGCTTTTGTAAGGCAGCAAAAAAGAGGAAATGCAAAACCTGGATTTACAACAAGGACTGCTGACACAAAATAAAGAACAAATACCCCCTCCTCCTTTGATTTAATTATTGCATTTTTGTATGCATGTAAATAAAACAGACCCTATTCCACATAAATGACCCGGCTAAGCAGTCCTTCTGGTCTATCAACCTGCTGCATCTGACAAGCCTGTCAACGGTGTAACATAAGGACCTGTAGTTAATAGGAATAAGCACACAGTGTTATCCTGGATGACCCAGCTGAACAAAGATGAAAGTGAACTATTAGTTAAAGGTTCTAAGAAAGAGAACCTGGACACGGAATTCATCCCGAGCCAACAAACATGAAACTTTGGTGTCATCTTTGACTTAGAACTAAACTTTAAGGCCCAGGTAGGGTATGTCAGCTGATCTGCTCTTATTGATCTAAAAAACGCAGCCACAGTGAGATCATTTCTCTCTCCAAGCAACACAGAGAGACTAATAGATGCTTTTACCTCTAACAGACTAGACTACTGTCATGCTCTCCTCTCAAATCTACCGGAATCAGTCATACATAATCAACAGATCGTCATTTTTATAGTGATTTTACAAATCTGTTAGTAGTTCACAGAATGTTAAATGTCACCAAAGTACAACAACCGCAAACTGACACAATTTAATTCAAGTAGCATGCCTGATGTAAGGCATCTAGTTTCGAGCAGTGACATTTATCAAAGCCTAGCATCTTTCTATCCAGTATCGACTTGGGGTCAGCTCTCAAACAGCAGACTTGAGTTCTGACACCTTGGCAGGCCATCTAAGTCATGTCCTGCCAGATCCTCTCACTCAGTAAGTCACAGAGGCAGCGTGTAGTGTTACTCCCACACAGACGCCCTCAGACTGTCCCATGTAACGCACATGTGATCTCATGCAAAAATAAAGCTGCTGCTTAAAAACATATTCTGTACACAATCAAACACATTAACAGAGACAAATTAGTGTGAGGGGAACACCGTCAACCAGTGAATAGTGATATCAGTTTTGTGCATCAGGAGACCAGCGGTTACGAAAGTTTAACCACGTGGAGACAGAGTGTGATCAGCTTACCTTAACGTTATCTGACTTCATGTCATTTTCCTCATACAGGCCTTTCAAAAAACCTGTGGTCCTGATGATCTGAAAGTGGTGAGAGGTAAAGGTTGCACATTCAGTTGTCAGATAATTTGCAATTTGAACTGTTACATATTACGTAAACAACTATTAGGCAACTATATGACAGCATTAGCTTTAAGTGGCTAATCAGAGGAAGGGACTCACACATGCCGAAACGCTTCCCTTTATCAAATATACATGACCTGCAGTGAAATATTAAACTACTCAACAGGTGGAGAGTGAGAATGAGATCTCACTTCTGTTTAGAAAAGTGAAACAGATTTTACTGTGCTTGACACCTTGTGTCAAAGGATTCTGATGTGTGTAAAATGTTGGCCGTGAAAAACAGAGAAACTGCAGTAGAGAAAAAGTGTTTTCATAATATAGATCAGATTAGACTTTGATTTCACATGAAATTTTTCTACAGCAGAATGGAAATAAGTTACAAGCTCAGGGCACTAACAACAAAGTGGGCAACAGAGTTGATGCAGTCTTTCCTGTGTTATTTTATGCAACACCTATATTTCTGGTACCACATCTATTTCATCCATGTTACCTGGCCTTTAACTGCTCAGATTTTTTGAAGTTTATAACTTGGCAATTGTATGAATTCCAAGTTCAGTCTTGATAACATCAATAAATCAGACAGTGCAGCAGTCACTACTCAGCTTTCAGAAATTCAGAAATTAAATACCAACACAAGTTTTGTTTTAACCTTATTCAGGAACCACTTAGTTAATGCTTTTTGTTGAGGAAAAGGGGCATGTTATATCTAAATTCTCTATCTGCGAAAGACAACTTTCTTTATATCAGCTAACTCATCCAGTCCATAAGGGGTATACTATCTCCATGCTGTACACGGAGTATATGAAAGCAAAAGGTTGATTGGTAAGTAGTAGCTGACCCCAGTTTGTACCTGAACAGCTGCTGCGGCTAAACAGATACCAACTGCCAAGGAATCAGACATTTAACCGTGAAGTACATCACTAAGCTTCTCATCAGCCTTTCCAAAAGGGACTCAAGGTTTCAAGTATATCTGTAACGTGCTCACATGTGTGTGTCTCAACTTTGCAAGCAGCTTTGAATAACAAAAACAGAATCAAAAACGGTAACAGTGTTGTACACATACATAGCTATAAATTATGACACAAGGTAAGCCTTAATAGCCGTAGGTGTTATCAGACAGCCCAGCTGCAATAAGCTGCTAAGCATTGGTGAGCTCAGCGCGACGGATTCGAAGAACCAGACAAATTTAACCAACTTAGTACTTACAAATGTCACTGTATTTAGCTTATAGTGGATAAAATTGGTTTGTTGATCCCTGTGTGTGGTCTGGTCGTGCCTAGCAACAAGACGACGCCGTAGACACGGCTAGCTAGCTTACTTGCTAACTCACTTTTTAAACTTCTAAGGCCACCTCATATTGAATTTTCAATGAACGTTAGCAATTATTTCTTTGGTTAATGGTCGGCCATAAGGAGTGAGCTGCTTGGCCAACCTTATTCGTACGTCAGACGGATTGATAGCTTGTGAAAAGCTGCAGAGGCAGTAATGTTACTGCGAAATTAAAGTTAACGTTAGCTAACTTAAGTTATTTGGTTAGCATTGTTCATGCTAACGCTGTTATGTTAGCGAGCTAACTGGCTAGCTTGTCTGTGTTTTTAAATTACATAGGTGAAGTTGGCCTTAGCTTTTTCATAAATATGGGCAACAGTGGCTCATAGAGTTAGTTAAACGGACGCCAGGTTGCTAACGTTAGCATAGCGTTAGCATGTCAGTCTCACCTCACTGAAGATATCATGAAGGTATCGAAACGGCGGCTTGCTAAGCAGTTTCTCAGTGAGAGGCGGCTTCTTTATCACTTTGCCCAGCGTGTCCTGGGTCTTCTTTACCACTGCCCCATTCATGGCAGCGGTCGAAAGTAAAGCTAAGACGTTTACACGCAGACGAGACGGCAAAAAACTAATATGGAGTAAAAACAACTTGGTGGCTCTGTCGCCTGGTTGCCATGTCAATATACAGCAATCCCACAGTGCATCATTAACGAAGACTGCGCCTGCGCAGAGGGTTATGGTTGCTAAGCGCTGCTTGTGGCCATAGCGACAGCTAACAATCTGCAACAAAGCTGTAGATTAGATAGATAGATAGATAGATAGATACTGTACATGGGAAAGGGACAGCATGGGTAAAAACTCTTGCAGTATTAACTTACTCTCAGACTGACATGTTTTGGTAGAAAGACAAATCAGATATGATGAGTATAAGGAAATGCTTCTGTTTATGGAAAGCTGAATGGGCCTTTTTGAGCCAGATCCCCTAACAGTCCATAAATGCATGACTGCTGGGCCTATAGGCTACATCTTTGTGAACCCCTTATAGAACTGTCACAAAATGTTATGGTCAGCAATTGGAGGAGACCAGTAGTTGAAGGTAGGGGTAAAGAGACAGATTATTTATGAATCATGTGCTCTATGTGTTGTGTGTAACAGTGTATAGCTGAGCCCTCCAGTGGTGTGTTGCCAATGGCCTACTGAGCCCAACACATACCCTATACTATGGGGAATACTACACCGGTCCCCTTTCTCATAACGTCAAACTGTTTTCAAAAGTGATATTTTGTGAAATATAACTTTAATTTACTGCTAAATTAATTCAATTCAACTTCCCTATTACAACTATTACCTATCATAGTTCATCATTTATCATCATTTTTTATGTCACACAATAAGACCATAAAAAGATGGTGCTCAATGGAAAACACGTTAGTAGGCTATAAATCAGTCTCTATCATTCTGTATCTCAGTTCCAGCAATTCAGACAATGTACATGATTCAACGAATAATAAGTCTTCTTCACATAGAGAGCACAACTTTGATATACCTGTTTGGTGAGTTCAGTTAAGAGAACACACATCTGACAAAAGGGAAGGGATACAGAAGGACAGGCTCAGATGCTTGTTGCTCCGTGCCGTCGAGGTAAGAAATCTACTTTAAGCAATGTCAGCAGAGAGAAATACTTGAATAATTGCCAGTGTTTTTTATCATACCTTGATATAATAGCTTCATGAAACTTGTTGCATATAATTAGTGATAGTTTTAAACCTACTTTTAGGCACTAATGTTTTTTAAAGTTATAATAATGTTTCTGTGATGTATCCATTTTTGTAGAAATAATACAAAGTCAGAAACAGTGAAGTAGAAGCTTGTATATTATGATGTTTAATTATCTCTCATCTGTTTGTTTCTACTGCACACACAGCCGAGGGAATCTCAGCCTTGTCAAGCTTGTTTGGTGAGTTGTCTTTGCAGAAGCAAAATGAACTGCCGGTAAAGCGTGTTGTTAGTAAAACCTGTGATAGCAGTGGGTCAGCAGCATAAAAGTCTCTCAGGTGAACATCTCGCTGATTTTCAGCTTAATCTAATTGCCATTGCAGGTCTCTCAAAGGACAGGAAGTGATGCTTCGTTGGGTCTTGTTGGCTTTGTTCCTTGGTGTCTGTGCTGGTGCCGGACAACAGAAAAAAATCAGCAAGAAGGCTCAGTCCCTTGCAAGAGGTTTGAGATTTTATTTTTCTGTTTTAAGAATTACTGAACTACTGAATTTATATCTGTGAGCTTGAGTTTGCTAGTTTTCACAAATAAGTCCTGAATTTGAATTGCCAGTGATTCAATTAATATAATGGAACCATAGAGAAGTGTACCACACATTGCTGTTAACTTCATCGCCGTTTTGTCTTGCAGGATGGGGGGACGGTATTAACTGGGTGGAAACTTATGAAGAGGGCCTTTCAAAGATGGTTGAAACGTAAGACTCTACACCCTCTACACCTTGATCCAAGCCTTGAATAGTTGTTGATTCTGTTTGGATATGAGTTTTGATTGTGAAAACAGAATGTAAATGTGAAAGTGCAATAAGTGTGCTTCATTTTGTTCACCTGCATTCTCAAGATTGGATTGGAGCCTTTTTGTATGCAATCTGTGAGCGTGATATAGTTTCAACCTAATGTGGCCATAAGGATGATGAAGTGACCCAATGGTTAAAGTTGGGATTAAAATAATGTATAATGCAGATTTGATCTATGACTGATGGAATACAGAAACTTAAATGACATTTTATTTGTCATTATCCCTTTAAATTCTTCCATATGAAACTTGATTTCTCAGGGATGACGTTGTGTAATACTGCATTCACACCCATCATTGTGGTTATTGTGTTGAGGAATGTGTTAAGTTGTCTTTCTCTGTGGTTTTGCTCCCACAGTCAGAAGCCTCTGATGGTCATCCATCATCAAGAGGACTGCCCGCACTGTCAAGGTACAGTAGTCACTCTAGTATATTACAGCTGGAAAACAAAAAAAAGAATGTAAAGAAACATAGGCTTGCACATCATGCACTGTCCTTCTCACCCTGATTTGGGCTTGGTTTTGTGGGGATCACAATGGGTGCATTCCTTAATACCTGCCAAGCAGGCCCAAGCAGGCTATGAAAATAGATTAGAATCTTGTTCATTAATCACACAGCTGGTTTCCTGAGTGTAAGCTCAGTGGAAGTCTCCACGGGCGTTTCTTAACACATGAACAATAAAGACCGCCTACAGGGGAAAAGTCTGGCTTTTACTTTTGACTTAAATTAGGTATAAGGAGAGAAGCAGAATATTTTACAGCCTGCCTTTGAATGCCACAAATGCCATGAATAACATACCAGCACTCATCATTACTCAGGTCGGTCCCTGACTCCATTGTACTATTTGAGGACAATTTAACTAAGTTGGGTTTCATATATTCAAAGCGTATTACATTGTATGATCTTTGGCAAGAAGACATCACGTGCAAAACTTGTTCCTAACTAGCCATGCTTCATCTGTGTTTGTGAAAAAGTAAAAAGGTAAAGTGCATGGGCTAGAAGTTTTTGCCATCACTATAACGCATACTTTAAAACCACTTATTTTTTCAAATCTTAAATCTAAGATAAACTAATTTATTTCAACAGCTCTGAAGAAGGCGTTTGTTGCTCAAAAGACGATCCAGAGAATGGCCAGAGATGATTTCATCATGCTCAACCTGCTGGTGAGTGCAGTGGGCTTGTATGACGAAATCTTATTTCAGTTTAAAACAGTGTACTCGTGTAGACATTGCAGCAAGTAGTAATGAAAAATGTAGACTGAGTGACTGATATAAAGAGGTATTGTGTTGATATTGGATAGCTGTAGTGGATATAGAGTTCTTAGTACAAGTAGATTTTGCAACCAGACACATGTTCTTTGTTCTAGAAATGTACTAAATGTGTTTTTTACAGGTAGAGACCACGGACAAGAATATGGCCCCTGATGGCTACTATGTTCCCAGAATCCTCTTTGTCGGTAAATGCTCACACCATTTATCATAATTTAGAATTCATTAATACATTTTAGTCTAATAATCATATTTACTTCCATTTTAGTGGGTCCTTTGAGAGTCCATCAGACAGTCCATCCTCTCTTTCTTAACTCTTTGGGGTCATTTTCCATCTAATGAGCTAAACACAATTCTAACCCAAATAAGGGTTTGTTTGAAAATTCTCAGAACTGATTTTTGCATCGTTTTGAGTCGCTAAAAAAAGATCTCACAGTCGCTTTTATGTCTTTTTAGCTGAATATAGATTGGAACAGAACAGATGGCATAGACATGGCACTGATGAGAAGGAATACTGGCTAACAGAGTCAGTAGTTATGTATTCTTAATGATGGTGTGGGAAGAGTTGGGGAAACTAGGGCCAGATATTCAGTTTTTACACTCAGTCCCAAATAACCACTCATTTGGCTGAGATGTCACTACATGCCTTCTCACTGAAACGGACACCTGTCGCCTGTTAGCCTCTCTGTCTTTCACAAATCCTTGCTTTATTTTAAACTTCATATTTTCACCACTAGTTGCTCTTAATGACTGTTACAGAAACACAAGCAGTTAACAAAATGAATGGCAGTAATAGCCATACAGTTAATGATCAGATAATGCTGATGTTTAACTGTGTGTGGGTGTGTGTGTGTGGGTGTGTGTGTGACATGTCTTTCTGCAGATCCATCCAGGACTGTGCGCACAGACATTAAAGGAAAGTACGGGAACTTCGGCTACACCTACGAGCCCAGTGACATGACGTTCTGTGAGTGACCGTACACTCTTTTTGCCGCACACCTTATCTGTCAGCAGCATGAAGACAGACTGAGCCCCCGCTGTTTTTAACCCTCATCTTCCTCCCTCCATATTTTGACAGTGATGGCAAACTTTTAGTATGAAATGGGTCTGACAGAGAAAACAGGAGGCTGCATTGATGTTATAGAGGGAGGCAGGTTTTAGGTTTCAGCAGGAGGGCATTAAGGAGGTGGGAGAAGTATTATAGCTGCTGCGCTCTGACTGCTTCTAGAGATACTGTGCCATTTTCAGCACATCCTTGTTTCCAATTTGGAGAATGAAGTTTTGGTTATATAAACTTTTTTGGCCAGTTGTCTCAGAGAATGAAGAATGAAGTTTTGGTTATATATAGTTTTTTGTCCAGTTGTCTCATGTAAATGAGCCTAATTGGGTCTTGAAAAAGCAAAAAAAAACCAGGCTTAATGCATTGAGGTATTTCAACCTGGAAGGCAATCAGACTAACTACTGTGCTTTAAACCTTAAGGGTAGGCTAACTCGCTATGGACTTCATAATAGAAAGCTCCTCTGGGCTTCAGAAAACTGCAGCTCTGCTTCCAAGAAATGTTTGTAAAAATGTGTTCACCATTTAATTTGTGCCAAGGCAAAATAATAGAAACACCTATTCACACAGCATACGTTGAACACTTACTGTAGTTGAGCACCCTGAGGTGAAAGCAAACCACACCTGCATTTTGTGTTGTAAAATTAAAATCTAACCTGACTTGTTTTGAGTTTGGCCTGGATCAGAAAGTGCAGACTCTGCAAAGGCAGTTTGACTGAATTCAAGTCAGTGTCACTTGCCTTGTCTTAATTGGCAATTCTGTCTTATTTGGGGTTATATTTATCTAGATACAAGAAACACGTCTTTTACAGATCTTCCAGTGTGTTTTGACACATACTCTGTTTCAAACTTTCAAGACAAAAACATCTAATTTCAAGTTTTGGTCTTCTGTTGCACACAAGTTCATCCTAAGTTCATCTGTTCAGCCTGTCACATTCTACTGATAGTAATGGTGCTTCAGATGGCTTACATCTCATTCAGTTATGTCATTATTAAGACTATAGTCTGAGCGTAATTATTAGACTTCCCTTTCTGGTGGACAGAGCACATTGAAAGTGTGATCTGCTGATGGTGCTCGATGAAAAGGAACAGGGACAATAAAGTCATTGAGATTCAACCTCAGGGGATCACGAGTATCTTAACCAAATCTCCTCCCACTCCATCTAGATATTTTACTGCTAGATAGTGAAAACTCTGACCTTCTGGTAGCACATGTGGAAAACTCAGGGCTTCGCTAAAGTTATGTGGATTCACCCTCTGGCGACCATGAATACATGTACCAAATTACACGGCAATCCATTCAGTTGTAGATGAGATATTTCAGTTTGGACCAGAGTGGTGGACCAACAGATTGACACTGCAATGACACATGATAAGATTTTGGTTGGCGATGTGACTCAGTGTTTGACACAAATGCCTCCCCAACCAGAAAGTCATGGGTTTGAATGGAGCAGGGCCAGGTAGTATTCAGGTCTTACCTGCAAGGAGTATTATCATCAAGAAATAGATAATAGTAATCTTATTGTAAGTCACTGGATCTTCGAGAATTGAATATTAGTTGGCTTGTAAGTGAATTAACTACACAAAAGAAGAGGTCCTTGAAATGATCATTTTCATATTATTTTTAGAACTTCAGTAGCTAGACATCCTGATTTATTTTAATGAATATATCAAAGTTTGTTGTCACGTAAATGTTATGTGACATTTTTGCAGCAAACCTTTTTTGTCGGCAGGGAAAAATATTTATGGTCTTTCTCCTAATTTGTCCTTTCTTTCTCAACAGTGATCAAAAACATGAAGAGAGCCAAAGTCCTGATGCACACTGACCTTTAACATGGCTCAATCTGACTTTTCTCGATCTTCCAGTCGTGCCGGGCAACCTGCTCAGTGCTCAGCACCAACATGTTTACACACTCCTCAGAGCTCAATAAAACTATGATACATGAACAGAAAGTAAGGTGTCTATTTCTTTTCCACACAACAGTAATGATGCCAATAGTAATTGGTATTGAAGCTTACATATAGGAAAATGTAATAATTTATAGTTCAACTTAAATTCAAAACTAATTTATATTTTATGGTGAGACACTTCAGGTGAAAACAGTTTTTTTTATAGTTTTTGCCTCCATAACATGTCTTCTGTCAGACAAGTGGAAAGAAAATACACACTTAGGTGTTTATTTTATTCCAGAGTCCTGTTCTGGAAATGTACACAAAAGGCACAAATTTATTCAGATAATGCCTCATTAGGATAATTAAACATAGAATTTCAGAAATGATGTAATACAAAAAATAATTGCCTTACTATGAATAATCAACTGGGATAGTTTCATGGTGGTATATCTACTTAACTAAAACTGTTACCACAGTCACCTGGGGCGACTCCCCTTAAACACATTAAAATCAAACATTAAATTTAATATCCAATCCTTCACTGACAACACATTAAAATTCTATTGTTTCTAAAAGTATTGTGCCGGGAGCGTTTAAAGTAATAGTTGGACATTTTGGAAAATGCAGTTATGAAGTGAACTGTTCCTTTAAACAGATGCTGTTTTTCTGTTGTCTGCAGTCTGTTGCCCTTTTAATTTAGATTTAATTAAAGATTGGACCTTTCGAAAACATGAGGAGAACAATGAACCTGTTTAAATGGCAGGGGACACGGTGGAAATATATTCTAAAAGTGAGCATTACTCCAGAGACTCTGGGTGCAGGCTTCCAGTAGAACTCCATGTTCTTAATGGAGGTGTTTTTCCCCATGTAATAACAAAGAGGAAGCAACATTTACACTCTTAGTGGATATGAACCAGAAAATTGACTGAGCAACATCTCACAGGTAGAGGCATGGTTAACCACTAGGTGGCAGTATAATATAGATGTCCAAGGTCCTGTGACTCTTTCCACTGGAATTACAATTGTACTAATTACTGTAAATGGTAATTAGCATATTCTTCAGTTTGATTACATGAATAATTATTAAAAAACAACAACAAATAAAATTTATACTTAAAACATAAGCACAGTTTATTCATTGTACATAAAATCCACTCTGTAATCTTGCATTGTATACAGTTTATATTTTTTGTCACCCAGGTTATACAAGTGCAATTGTGTGTAATGCCTGGGGGGGGCTCCACTTAAGAAAATAATGATAGATAAATAATAAACATATATAATATAGTGTATCTACTGTGTCCATAAACCACATGTTACAAGATGAGCATGTCTTCTTTGAGCTCACCAATCATCATGTTGTTGCACATGTAGTCATTTCTTGCTCCGTAGTTTCTGGACAATTTTCCAAACGTGCTTTTGGGCTGCATCTCTGTTTCTCTTGTTAAATGGTCCTCCCTGACAACTGCAAAGATATTGTTTTCTAAACAACTCGGGCCTCGACAGAATGGGACCGTGCTGCATCGCCACAAATAGCCCAGATGCATTTTTCTGCTGTCATACCTAGGATTAATGGGCTGTTTTTAATTGTTATGGCTCCTCTGTGTTGAGCATTCCTGTGCTTTCACCTTTTGAAAGGAAAGTAAGCTGACTAGTACAGACATCTATCAGCGGCAGTGACTGTTCTACAGACTAAAACCCTCATTCTAACTAATAAGATGCATCCTGAAAACCCATTTATTTTGCATTTCTTTGAATTCAGAGGAAAACAGAAAACAGAGAAACATTTCAAATGGGTCAGTAAGTTTCATTCCTCAATATTATTCTCCCTTAACATCTACTGAAGGAACTGATCACTGAGGAATGATTAAATTATTCACACTTCCGTTGCATTTTTTCCCCTTTTTCCTTGTGCGCCTGCTTTTCTCTCATGTTTTTCAGATTTCTGTCTTTCCGTTAGACCCAAGATGATTCGTCAGAAACTCTTGAGATTTTCCAACTATTTTCCCCCCACTACTTTTCTCAAGAAATAGGTTTCATAGGCTTACACTCCCCGGTTCATAACAAATGTGTTTTCTACTCAGACTTTCCTATATCCTGGGCCTGACAATTCCCTGTCTGGCTCATTGCAGTGCTGTTTCTGTGCTCTGTGAAAGATACTCTGCTTCCAAAATCCTTTCCAACACTTCATGCCTCCAAAAAACTGTCATATTGCTTGAGGAATATGTCTACTATTTCTTGGCAAAAAAAGAAAGAAAAAAAAAGGATGTAAGTGGAGATAAAACAAAAAATATGTATATATTAATGGGTAATTACCAAGACAAGCTTGTTAAATAATTCCAAAATGCTTGGCATGCTATATGCTTTACTTTAAAGCATACATACACACACAAACAGTATATGTATGAAAACAGATGTATGGCCACACGTTCGTGTATTACATAAAGACACAAGACATTTTTGCCATACCTTAACTTATTCTAGGTTACCTACCAAACACAAGGTTGTTTTACACCTACATCAAGCCTACAGTCTCATGTCTATGAACACTTTAAATTTCAGCCCGCAATGTGCAACATTCTCCCCAATTCCCAGTGTTATTTTTTTGTACTAAATGCTGCACCAGTATAGAGCGTAGTGACTGGTACAAGGGAACAAGGTGTGAAGTAAGGAAATGAGGGGGTAACGATATGTGAATTTAAAAAAATTAAAAATCATTTATAGTGCTTAAGTAGGTCTTATTGTAACCCGTGACAAGAGGACTGTAACCTGAAAGTTAAACAATATCTACAGTAAAAATATTTTTAAGTATTGTTATACCCTGCACTGGTACACAGTCAGTGGCCTACAAAAATGACACTGTAAAGAAATATGCTGTAGGTTGCAGGCCATAATCTAATCACATAATCTTTTTTTATCACCATGAACATGTACTATTATAAGCATTACACTATAATACATATGTTATATTTAACAAACTAAACAATTCTAATGTTTTAGAATTCTTTTCTTTTTCTGTCTCATCTAGCAGTTTAATTTGGGCTTCATTGAGCAAAAATCCCATAATAATCTTTAAGCATATTGTAATTCCAGCAGACTGAGAGAGGTTAGACTTCAGCACCTTTTCTTAGCTCTGTTTTCAGGCTTAAGAAAATCTAACCTGTGACTGGAGACCAATCATAGGTCATTTCAGAGAGAGGGCTTTCCTATTGGCTGTTCTACAAATACCAATGTGTATGCATGTCCCTTCAGATGGTGAAAGCCTGATTCAATGATGGAGAGTCCTCCAGCATTGGCCACAACTGCCTACACTGCAACGCAACCCAAAAACAGAAGACAGACTCAAAATGAGAGTCTTAAAGAGAGTCCGACGGACAATAAACAAAATAAAATAGCTGTCAATATCAGTGAAGTGTTTCAGAAATGGTAAGAACAAGTTACTAGTAGTTAAGCCCTCTGCTAACTGGAGCTCAAGGCTAACAGCTGCAGCTTAAAGAAAGGTTTATGAAGCTAATATTAGTGAGAGCCTTGACTCACAGTGTCGCTACGCCTCACTGCCCACCGCTACACACCACCTCGCCTGGAGAATAACGGGCAGCAGCTCTGGAGACAGACCCCCAGTCAGAGGATGCAGCAACCAGAATCCAGCAGGTGCAAACCCCAGCTCCAGGGAGCCTCACAGCTGTGGTGCCGGATCAGCTATAAAGTTAGATTCAGTGCTGCCACTGGCCACCAGCCCACTGTCACACCCGACACTGGGGGGGTTTGTGCTGGACGAATTCAAACCGCTAGAGCCCCCAACTGAAGGTCGATATTCCGAGCTGTTGCCCACTCTCCTTCCACAAATCAGCACACAGTGGAGGGGAGTAAGGCGGAGGGACTGCGGTGTGGCTATCAAGCTAAAGGAGGGGCTGAGCAAATGTGCTGCATGCAACTGTAGGCTGAGCAAACGTCCTCTTTTACCCGGACATGTCCACTTTTCATGTCCCGTCCGGGGCGTCCGGGGGGTGTTTATAAACTGATGATAATGTCCGGTTTTCCGTGTGTTTGTGTGTGTGTGTTAGAGTGCGGTACGGGCAGCATATTTCTGTCCGAACCCGAACCGAGCCCGACATTATTTAATGACCAAAACACTGAGTTTGTGTCACACAGTGGTTACAGGCTATTTAACAGGCCGGGCGCGGGAGCGGGAGGCGGGAGGTCCGACGCTTCTAGCGAGAGGAGAGGGAGAAATAAAACAAAGTAAGATAAAATAGGAAAACCTGTCTCCCTCTTTTATTTTATTTTCAGCGTTTAATCAAGGCGGAGGTGGGCAGCTGGAGGTCTGAGACTTCCAGCGAGGGGAGAGGTAGAAACTAACCGCCAATGTGTGTCTGTGTGTGTTATGTTCAGGTGTTGTCACGTAAATAACAGTGCCCAAGCAATGAACAGGACAGACAATAGGATTTTATTTATTTTTACACTACATTTTCACTGAAAGCTGACTGAATCTGACCCAAGCCCGAATACAATTTATAGCTACATTTTGACCAAACCCGGCCCGACCTGTCGGGTACCGTCGGGCTCGGATCACCACACTCTAGTGTGTGTATGTGTCCCCTAATGGGGCCTATCTGAATTTCTGTCTTTGAGAGATATTATTTTGTAATATAACAAAATTTTCTATCCATACATATAAATTTTAAATATATTAAAATAATAAGGCATCTTTGAATAAACTGCAAGTATCATTTAAGAAGGCTATGTCGTGGCCGGCCGAGTGTCCTCTTTTTTGGAAATCAAAATATGGTCACCTTATGCAACTGTACAATGATTTCTGCATTTGTTTTGGAGAGCGAGAGGATTAATGTTACTAACGTCGGCTCAGTACAAGTAATTAGTGGAAACAAAATTCTCCTGTCGTGTGTCTGTTCTGATCTAATCCTAACACAGCAAAGCTGTTACCTGCAGCCTTCGCTTGCAAAGCTAACGTTACTAACGTTAGGTCAGTCCAAGTAATTAGTGGAAACATGCTAACATGCTAACATGCTAACGTTACACACAAGTTAGTAGTAAAGTAA